CTAGTGATGCACACTGAACACCAGGGGCCAGACGCTCAGTGCAGGAGCTGCCCCCAGCCCACAGGCCCCAGGCCAGCCAAGGCGGGTGTCAGCGGGGGGGCCCCCCATCACCCCACAGAGGGAGGCGACTGGCAGCAATGGCGGGGGGCAGGGCCGGCGAGCGGGCAGTGCCAGGCTAGCCAAGATGGGTGCCAGCAGGCCCCCCTCCTCCCGATCGCCCCACCGGTAGCCCCACAGATCGGCCCTGATCGCCGGCCAGGCCTAGGGACCCTACCCATGCATCCCACAGATCGGCCCTGATCGTCGGCCAGGCCTAGGGACCCTACCCATGCATGAATTTCATGCACTGGGCCTCTAGTTAAAAATATATTCAAAGGACTAAAAGAAATCAGGCTTAAAGAAGTAAAGGAAGTATGATTCAATGTCTCACCAAACAGAGACTATCAATAAAGAGACAGAAATGATCAAAAAAGAACCAAATACCCAGTAGAAATTAAAACATATGTCAACACAAAAACTTGTACATAAATGTTTACAGCAGCATCCTCATCCTATATAATAAAGAGGTAATATGCAAATTGACCATCATGCCATCACAAGATGGCAGCGCCCGGGGGGGTGGGGAGGGGCACGAGGCCAGCTGCTCCATGCCTGCCGCTGGATTCCCCTCAGCCCTGCTGGGGGCTTTGGGTCCTCCTGACCCCCCACTGACTGACAGCTCACCCAGGCTTCTCCAATGAGCTGCCCATTCCTCTCTTCCTCCCTCTCCCGAAGCTGAAGCCTGACTGTGGTGTCCAACAAACTGGAAGTTATAACTCATGTCATTGAGAGTATCCTCTGTTCCTCAGCCAGGGCGGCCGCTCCGCACTCCTGCCACAGGAGTCTCCTCAGCCCCACCAGAGCCTTGGGTCCTCCTGCATCCATCCACTGACTGAGGCTCAGGCAAGCCTCGGATGGCGGCTGCGCAGGGCTGAGGCGCAGGTAACCAGGGCCGGGCCGAGGCTTGTGCTGCTGGCAGTGGCAGCAGCAGATGTGTGATGGGGGCATCACCTTCTTCTGATGGCTGGGTTGCCTACTGCCCCTGAGGGTTCCCTGACTGTGAGAGGGGGCAGGCCGGGCTGAGGCCATGAATTTTCATGCACCGGGCCTCTAGTTATTAATAACAGTCCAAAAGTATGAACAACCGAAATGTCCGTCACTGGATAAAAGGATAACAAAGTATGGTCTATTCAGACAGGGGGCTATTACTCAGCCATAAAAAGGAATGAAACACTGACACATGCTACAGTTGGGATGAACCTAGAATATGTAATGCTCAGTGAAAGAATCTCATATCCAAGCATATTGAGTGTGATTCTACTGAAGTGTCCAGAATAGGCAAATCCACAGACACAGAAGGTAGATTAGTGGTTGCAGGGCTGGGGGAAGGGGAATGACTGCTAATGGGTATGAAATTTCTTTCTGGAACGATGAAATGGTTCCAAAATGTATTGTGATGATTAAAAAATTCTGTGAATATACTAAAGACCACCTGGTACATTATGTAACCCAATAAAGCCATTTTAACATAGACAGATAGACAGACAGACAGGAAGATGAAGGATAGCGATAAAGGGGTGGGTACAGAAAGTAAATATAGATTACTACAGATCCACAATCCCTTTTCTGCAATTCTGAACTCCAAAAGGCCTTTATTTTTATATTATAGTCTTTTAAACTGAATAACTTACAATGATAGGTACAAAGTCAATTACTTCCTTCACTTTTGTAGGGCACAACATGAGTGTATCTGATACCCTGGTAGAGTTGTACCTTTATCTGCGTGATGTTCCCTTCGAGCTCAGTAGGGGTCTGAAGGGTCCACATGTCTTTGCCCTCCACTCCCCGGATGCTATGGGGGCCTGGCACTTTCTTCCACATGGCTACTCGCCCTTTATCAGTGCCCGCTGCCAGAAGACCTACACGTAAAAACCGAGTCCACAGTCATTGACTTGAAAAGGGATTAGAACAGCAGCAAGCTCCCTTCTCTGACCACCCTCTCTGAAATGCCAGTCCGTCAGCCCTCTACCCAGCAACTCTCCAGCCCTCGCCTGCCGTATCTTCCTTCGCAGGAACTGATGGCTGACTACCTGGCGATACAGTGGGTGCATGTGCGCATGTGATTGGTGGGGGTACTGATGCTGGTTCTTCTTTTTCTCCATGAGAGCGGAGGCCTATCTGCCTGCCCATCTGCGTCTTCAATGCCAGAACAGCACTTAGCACTCAGCAGGCACGAAATAAATGCCACTCTGGCTCATCTCCTGTTCTGTCTTCCCTGTGTGTACACTTATACACATACATACATACATACATACACGTATGTATATATATTTCTAAAGTTTCCCACACTGTCTTTTTCTTGGTGTTTGGGAGAGCATGGAGATCAATTGCAGACAGCCAGGTTGGTCACACTTTGGACCAAACTCTTGACCTTCATGTGGGATGAAAAGCTTCACTGTTACTTTCTCATTCTTGACTGATTTTATTCAAATGACTTGACAGTTATAACCGAGTTACCAGCCTTTAAATAGCCACCATCATCATTTTGCAGCCAAAGAGCAAAGCAGGAGGTTGGTTCTCCTTCTCCCTTATGCCAGCCCGAGAAATCTCACCTTTGCTTTTACAGTAAGAAACACAGTTTATATTCTCTCCTTTTTCAAAGCCGAACTTCTCCTCTGGACTCAGCACGTAATTCTCTCCTCCTTCTAAATCCCAGAATCTACAAGGGAAGGAACAATGCTCGCTAAGGAGACTGCCAGTGCACTGCCCTCGGCTCTGAGGGGCTTGTCCAACTCGCCGAGCGAGCTGTAAAATCCAGGAAGAAGTCATGGCCCATTGGACTCTGACATGACAAGCAGGCCGTCATTACATTTAGATCTGCTTTGTACCCTGTTCGTCTTCAAAGGAAGCAGCTATTAATAAAAGAGGGTCCATGTGTGACAGACACCAGGTCACGATGAGAACAAAAGACCTGAACCACACGCACCCAGGGGAGCCGCCAGCGTCATGTGGAACCACAGCAGCGAGAAGCAGGCGCTCACAGACACCAGGCAGAGGGACTCCACAGGCAGACGGGACAGGTCCACCCGGCGTGGGGGCGGGGACGCCTGGGTCTCTAATGTGCTCTGTTCTCTGATCTCGGAGCTGTTACCTGGGTGTGTCCAATTTGTGAAAATTCATCACAATTTGAGACTGACTTTTCATCCCACAATCCCTGGCGTGTCCAGTCTCACCTGAGGGCTGCCTCCCCGATGGCGGTCACCAGAAGGCTGCCTTCAATCAAAGCGATGTCTGCCTGGTGACCCGTTTTCCCACTCAGCTTTACCTGAATAAGGAAAAACAACCCGAAATGAGCATGCCGCTTTGCTGGGGCTGTGTCCCTGCCTGCGAGCCTGGACTCTGTCTGCAGTGACTTCCTGCAGACTCAGCAGTAACGGAGGTGCGAGGTGACGATGATCAGCTTTCCAGGCTGCACAGCCAGCGCTGACAGCCGCCCTTGCACACTAAGTGGTTAATACAGCGGCTGCCGGCGCACGGCACACAGCCCATTTCCAGAGTGACTACCAAGCTGAGCCGAGGACCAAGGTCAGGAACCACCGTGCCCTCCAAGGCAGGCATCACACCCGTTTTGCAGTGGCTCAGGGGGAACTTGAACCCAGGTCCACGTGATTGATCGACCATGTTTTCAACTGCTGTGCTCAAAGATACACAAATGACCAAACAAATACCAACTGATAAAAAGATCAATCCATTCCACAATCTATGAGTATCTTTAGGGGAAGTTCAGAGTTCTCTAAGGAACATGGGTTCCTCTGGTATAAACCAAGAAGCTAGCAGGAGGGCAGCGATGAGCAGCACCTGACAGGACAGGGGTGTCCTCCTGGCGCTAGGGCCCGGGGCTGATGCCGCGAGGCACCTTCAAGGACGTCAAGGTATAGTCTCAGTAGCCACAGTGGAACACCTGCTGAGGGATAGACATCCCTCCGGTGAAACAACGTGCCCGTGTGCCTGGGGCAGCTGGGACAGCCGCACATGGGGGGAAATCCCAAGGCTGTCAATGGTGAGTGAGCCCCCTCCAGGCCTTGTCTGCACAGCCAGGAAGCAGGGCGATGCCCTTCCCCACAATTCCATGGTGGAGGTTGAACAAGCTGCTGCAAAGTGAGCGGTTATTCTCACGCCCGGGTCTGTAGGCCGCCAGTGAAGCGATCCTGGAGGGCGCAGCCCGACTCACCTTGTCTGTCCACTGACGCCAGAAAAATCTTCACTCTCACTTCCCCTCACCTGAGCGGAAGGTCGTATAACATATCACGGTACTAAACAGCTCTGGGAGTGGCCGTGAAACAGCTTTGCTAAGGAACTGGAAAGGGTGATTAATCAGGTCAGGAGAACCCAGCCGGGGCCCTGCCCCTCTGCCCACCTTCATCACTTCTTCTGCTTTGCCCTCAGGTGTCACCGAGTACAGGGACAGCAGCAGGTTCTCCGTGACCACCACCAGCGCCTCCCTCTTCTCGAGGTAGAAGAGTGTTTGGATGGAGCTGTCTGTGGACGCCAACTGAGTGGTCCTGCCTTTCTCGTCCACGTAGTGCACTGTCCCTGAGGGCAAAGGGGACCGTCACCAGCAGTCCATAGGGAGCGTTCTCAAAATAAACATCTTCGTTATAAAAATTTGCAAAGAAAATATTTCAAAAACATCTGCATATGACCTCACAGGCTGCCATCTCAGGAATACGTTCAGCCTTGACACCTGATGCCTCAGCCATCACTACCTCCACCAAACCAACCTCAGAGGATTCAGACTTACACTGATGACCGCCTGACCCGCAGCCTCGGAACTCTTTGTTCATCCTGGTCCCCTAACATGAGGTGCTCATCTGTCACCCATGCACCGAGGCCCTAGGTTGTGACCTGCCCTAGCCCTAGGTCTGTCCCCTCCGTCCCGTGCATGGTTGGTTGGCTGTTTTTCCCTAAGCTGCAGGGCCTCTCCAGCCTGGAACCCCTCCTCCTGTCCACCCTGAGCGTGCCAGTCCCTTGCCCACCTCCTGGTTTCTCTCCCAGCTTCTGAGCGTGGCAGGTGGAACCTCCTCCGGGATCCAGTTCATTGCTGCTGCTCTCTGGAGTCTCCTCATCTTATTCCTAATAGGTAACTTGTTTCCTATTAAACTGAAAGTTCAACGTTCTCTAGAGGCTAATTGCAACAACAACGAGCATCTACTCAGCACGTATGTGTGGCAGGCTAGCTAGGTGATAAGCACTCACATGTGTATTAACTCCACTCTGTTTCCGGCGAGCTCTCGCAGCAGGTACTCTGACTATCACTGTCTCCGTTTTACACACTAGGAAGCCGGGGCACACAGATATGAGATAATCTGCCTTTGAAGCCCAAGTTACCGAGTGGAAGGAAGAGCTGACACACAGCCCTCTTCCAGTCGCCAACGTCTCTCCCTTCATGCATCTCTTTCCACACCATCTTGTCAACTCTTCCTCAGAGGCCCCTGCACTGGCATCTCCCCTCCCTGCACCCCCATGGCACTGTGCGCGCTCCAGGTCCCTGCGGTGACCTCCCTGGATTCCCTCAGCACGGTCTCTTTATCCCCTAAATGTAAGGTATCTTCAAAGTCCCAGCCCCTTCCAGCTCTCCTCCGCTCTCCTCTCCCTGTCATGCTGACACATCCTCCTCAAACTTCACCGCCTTGTGCAAGCCTCATTTCCTTGGCCTCTTCCTCACAGCAGACACACACTTGTGAGCGTCTCATGTGACTACAAAGACTCTAGTTTTCTCTTAACTTCATATTGCATGTATCAGCTGTCACCAGGGCAGCCTGTCTCACTCTTTATGCTAAGGAGGAGTTGTGCTCAAATCACTTAATGTGGGCCACTCATGAAGGCTGGCTGGTGACTGCAGGCTGGAAACAACACCCACCCATCCTGCCTGGCCCATGTGGCTCAGTGGTTGAGTGTCAACCCATGAACCAGGAGGTCACCGATTGATTCCTGGTCAGGGCCCATGACAAAGTTTTGGGCTCAATCCCCAGGAGGGGGCATGCAGGAGGCAGCCGATCAATGATTCTCTCATCATTGATGTTTCTCTCTCTCTCTCCCCCTCTTTCTTCCTCTCTGAAATCAATAAAAATGTGTTTTTGAAAAGCCTCCAAACAAAAATAAAGCTCAATTTGTCTCTAATCAGAACTAAGTGGAGCCATTCTTTGAACACTGGATAAATAACTGCAAAAAGCTGGCGAATGCATCACTCTGAGGTTGGCACACACGCAGCCTGTAGTTTTATGCAGAAACACCATCTATTTGTTTTATATCCTTATTAGACGCCCTGGAAAGGCTTCCGTGTCCTAGAATCCCAAACGAAGCTTCTTACCATCCATCAAGCTGACAAAGAATGACAGTCCCTCTTGAGATCCCATTTTCAAGAAACTTCCAAAGCCACTTTTCCTCCAGTTAAACATGTCCAGGGCTTTCTCGTCTCCGCTCACAGCTGCCTTTGCCAACTGAACGAGGTCCCTGAAAGCAAATACGACCCAGAACATCAGGATTCCTTGTTATTCCTCGTAGGAAGGTGCTGTCACTACAGATGCTGAGAGCGGCTCATTGCTATGATCCGTCCAGTGTGTCCGGAGGAGCCATACCTCTGCTCATCCCCCCAAAGGATTTAAACTCAGGCCACTACGGAAGCTCATACTTACTCGCCAGGTGGGGGGAGCCGGAAGATGCAGTGAGTCAGGTGTCTTCCGTATTCATGTTTCAGCAGGGGTGTCCCTTGTACTCGGCCCCTTTGATCCAACCTCCATACGAGCAGGACACCAAGCTGGAAAACCCATCATGTGGAGGAAACGCATTCTTACCGAGTGACTGGTAAAGGCAAGAGTTACACTGTGCAATAGAACACATGCTAATTTCCCTCTCTCTCTCTCTCTCTCTCATTTTAAAAAAAAACTACATGTGCACCATGACAAATACAAACAATTCAAGTGTTCAGTGAAGGAACCAGAAACTTTTCCATGTACCCCCTCCATCCTTACTCCCTGGAGATAACAACTGTCACATTTTTAGTTAAAACCAACTTTTAAGTTTAGAATAGATTCAGATTTGTGGAATAGTTTTGAAAACAGTTCCAATAAATTTCATACCCCCACCTAATTTTTCCTATCATTAGATCTTACATTGGTGTGGTACAGCCCTCAGATTAATAAGCCAATATTGATACATTATATTAACCAAAGCCTTTGTTCAATTTCGTTAGTGCCTCCCTAATGTCCTCTTCCAGCCCCAGGGTCCCCTCAGGACCACGTGATGTTTGTTCTCCTGAGGCTCCTCTGGGATGAGACCACATGTCAGACTCTCCTGTTTTTTGATGATCTTGACAGTTTTGAGGTCTATTAAGGGATTGTGTGGATTGTCCCTCCACTGTGATCAGTCGTTTTTCTCATTGTTGACTGGGGTTGCAGGTTTTGGGAGAAGAACACAGATATAAAGTGCTCTTCTCGGCATATCGGACCATGGGTCCCTGCCATCACATGACTTGTCTCTGTGACACTGACCCGGATCTTCTGGCTGAGGTCATGTTTGTCAGGTGTCTCCACTGTGCAGGTCTCCCCCCACCCCTCTATCCTGCACCGTTTGGAACGAAGTCACTATGCACAGGGGAGGGGAGTTACGTCTCACCTTTTTGACCATGAAATGTCTACATGAATAATTTGGCATTCGCCGAAACCGGTTTGGCTCAGTGGATAGAGCGTCGGCCTGCAGACTGAAGGGTCCCAGGTTTGATTCCGGTCAAGGGCATGTACCTGGGTTGCGGGCACATCCCCAGTGGGAAATGTGCAGGAGGCAGCTGATCGATGTTTCTCTCTCCTCGATGTTTCTAACTCTCTATCTCTCTCCCTTCCTCTCTGTAAAAAATCAATAAAATATATATTTAAAAAAATAATAATTTGGGATTCTTCGGCACAGGGAGACGCCTCTTCCCCACCACTTATTAATTCAGTCATAGATTTATATCAGTATGGACTTATTTTCTACTTTGGGTTATAATCTAATACTGTTTTATTTATTTTGTTGCTCCCGTTCTTCCAGCTTCGGCCATTGGGAGCTCTTTCGGCTCGCTCTGTGAGCACTTCCTTACTTCCTGCCACTACAGATTCTCTAAGCTCACTCCTGCTCCAGTCCTAGAATCAGCCATCAAGGAGCCCTGGTTCCCTGTGTTGGAGGAAACCAATAGAAACCAGGATCTGGGTGCCAGGGGTATTGTATGTTCAATTTAAACACCACCAAAGTCTCAATCAACAGCAGGGAGGAGACAGCTGCATTGGAACTGGTCTAGGAGGCTCCTCGACCAGGGATGAGAGCTAAGCCATGCACATGGCAGTATTTCCATCTGAATCTGTCTGCCAAGCGCCTGTGTTTTGATGCCTAGACATTCCTCAAGGCATGTTTCCTCTTCAAGATCAGTGGATGTTTCAGCAAACAGTACGCTCTTCCTCCCACCCTGCTTTCAATTAGCATGGATTCCAACATCCCCACATGCTGGGTAAATCACTTTATTGTACATAGGAATATGGTCTTCCAATAAGGTTGACTTTAAAAACAAATTATACAGTAAATCTCTAAGAAAAGTGATGGAAGATTGAAAATAGTATGGAACAAATATATATATTCATATATATTACGAACAGTATATATTATCACACTAATTCTTGACTTTGCCAGCTTTATGAAGAATAAATGCATTACTGGTTCCTTTAGTTTCACATCCATAGTGAAAAAGAAAACGAAAATGTTTCCTTCCCCAGTGGCCCAGCCTCGCCCCTGGAGAACCATGCTGTGGGATGTTGTGTGTCTGATGGTGTATGATGCGTACATAACACTTATAGAGATGTCCCTTTGCTCTGCCCTCCAAGTGCAACCAACCAGTACTTATTCTTTAACGTAACAATGAACTTCATAGATTAGCAGGTACAAGCTTCTAACTGGCAATTCCTGAATACAATGAGGACATACTCAGCATGTCCAGTCTTCTAGACTGTTGTTTTGAGGAAGTTGTTCTGAGCCCCTGAGCCCCGGGAGCAGTGATTTCATGTGTGATTGTACACCCCTTTGTGTTGACAGGATAGATGTAGCACCACAATCACTGATTCCCGAGGAGGCAATGACTCAAACGCGCTTTGTGTCAAGTTCTGGCCAACCGGCTGGAAATGCAGCACAAGGTGGCGATTTAGAGGTGAGCTCTGAGATGTCCTGTTTCCCTTGTGGCAGCCTTGCTCCTCATCCCAATTCTAAGTGTTTTTTGCACCTCTCACTACTACTGCAGGGCAATTCTTTGTGTTCAGAGCTTTTTCTTCACTGTCATTCCTTCTGAGTTAGAATTATTTCATTCACCGTAATTTTTATTTTGTTTTTATTTTTATTGATTTTAGAGAGGAAGGGAGAGGGAGATAGAAACATCAATGATGAGAGAGGATCATTTATTGGCAGCCTCCTGCATGCCCCTTACTGGGGATTGAGCCTGAAAACCAGGCATGTGCCCTGACCAGTAATGGAACGGCGACCTCCTGATTCATAGGTTGATGCCCAACCACTGAGCCACACTGGCTGGGCTCATTTACTATAATTTTATACAGTAAGGCTCTAAAGAAAAGTTACCCACCAAAAAAGAAAAGAAAAAGAAAACAAAAGTTACCCCAAAGATGAGAATTAGCCCTATTTGTGAAGAGCAAGAGTTGAACGTATTAAGGAACTGATGTGAAGTTAATAGTGTTTTAGATTCGATTATTGTCGACATGCTGTCACTTCAAAGAACAGGTCATCCTGCTAGGTTCTCTAATAGTTTATGCTGACAGTAGGAACTGACTTGCCCTTTGTCCTGTGTAGATTTACTGGTTCCTACACTTGGCTCAGTGAAAGCATACAGGGAAATAAGACCTGGCCCACATGACATTCTCTCCACTTCATTACTGATGGAACTGCTAATGGACACTTCACGGATCTGCCCAGTGTCCCTTTCCTAGGGATCTCCCCACCGCCCTGGCCACTGCTGACTACTGCACATGTGGGCACTTGGCCTGAGCTGAATTTGGGCCAGAGGAGGAGGGAAAGGTATTCTCTGGGTGGGAACTGAAACGAGAGCAGGTGATTTCGTTTGTTTTCATCAGCTAGAGGTTCTGCCTCATGGACAGAATGGGTCAGAGAGAGAGAGAAAACTTGAGCAGGACAGTACACAGAAAGGTACAGAGCTGGCAGACAGCTGTGTCTGTCAGCACCTCACTCTTTGTTCTAGACCAGTGGTTCTCAACCTTCCTAATGCCGCGACCCTTTAATACAGTGCCTCATGTTGTGGTGACCCTCAATTTCATTGTTACAAATTGAACATAACTAAAGCATAGTGATTAATCACAAAAACAACATGTAATTATATATGTGTTTTCCGATGGTCTTAGGTGACTCCTGTGAAAGGGTCGTTCAACCCCCAAAGGGGTCGCGACCCACAGGGTTGAGAACCGCTGCTCTAGACCAGCCGTGGGCAAACTGCGGCCTGCGGGCTGGATTCGGCCCATTTGAAATGAATAAAACTAAAAAAAAAAAAAGACCGTACCCTTTTATGTAATGATGTTTACTTTGAATTTATATTAGTTCACACAAACACTCCATCCATGCTTTTGTTCTGGCCCTGCGGTCCAGTTTAAGAACCCATTGTGGCCCTCGAGTCAAAAAGTTTGCCCACCCCTGCTCTAGACGGTCATGAAGTCAGGGTGTTTCCATCCCTGGAGACCCCGGCCTCAGATTAAGTGCACGGTCTTGCTTCAGCCAGTCTGGCTTGGTTTCACTGGTAACCAACCTACCTAATGCAGGGTCTTTGGTGGAAGACCCAAGGAGACCCTCCGCCAAGCCAGTGCATTCAGTGGTGCAGCATTCCAAGTGCTTATACATTTGTTATGAATTACTTTCCTGCTTGAGCCATTCATTCATTCATTCATTCATCCATTCATTTGGTTAATCCTCACCCAAGGATATATTTTCCATTGACTTTTAGAGAGGGGGGACGGAGAGAAAGAGAGAGAGAGAAAAACATTGATGTGAGAGAGACACATCAATTGGTTGCCTCCTGCACATGCACCATCTGGGACTAGGGATCGAACCTGCAACACAGGTACATGCTCTTGACTGGGAATCGAACCTGAGACCCTTCAGTTCTTGGGCCAACACCAGCTGGGGTGAGCCCACTATTAAATTAAGACCAGCATAGTCTAGATTTTCTTAGAAGGATTAGGTATTTCTGCTCTTAAGTATTTTGACTCATAGAACTTGGTCAGCAAACATATCCAAGTTTAGTTCCATGCCTAAGTTAATCTATTTTGTTAGTGTGTGTTTTTTTTTTAATAAAGTCAAAATGAGAATAATGCAATGCAATCATCTTGAAATCTTTTATTCCTACCGGGAATTTGCAGAGCATTCCACAGCAGGGAGGTAGGAAAGGTCACCAAGGGAATCAGAATCTGGGGACAGCCATGTCTTTAGGTGGGAACTAAGTAGAAAAATCATCAAGAAAAAAGGAACAAGCTAATAAAAGAATGTGCAAGTGATGTGACCAGAAAAGGAAATGTCAATGGCTCTGGTAAGTGATGCTGATCCTCAATATTAAGAGAAATGCAAACTAGAACATGACTGGGGTGCCACTTCTCTAGGCAAAATTCTGAATTCGGACACAACGCTCTGTGAGAAAGCACATGCTAGTGCGTTGGTGTGAACTGATGCAAGCCCCATGGAGGGAGGTTTGGGAACATCCACCAAACCGCAGGCGCACATGCCCTAAGGCTCTGCCACCCCACTTCCAGGAACTTCTCTGAACCTCCACATGTGAGAAATGACAAAAGCATGAGGTTAGCCACTGTGTCCCTGTCTGTTTAGCAAGACTGGAAGCCGCTGAAATGTTTATCAACAGCGGCTGGTGAAGTCATATCATGAAGGACAGGTTAAAAGAAAAGAAGGAAGCTTGCTGTTTACCACCATGGAGAGATCTGGAAGACACAATGGAAAATGAAAAAGACAAGAGACAGAAGAGAAGCTCGATATCACTATGTGAAAGGAGACAAGATCCTTTGTGTGCTATCTGCAACCAAAAGTGTTTCATCTAAAGCAACAAGCAAACAAATCTAAACTGAGGGATATTCTACACAATAACTAGTCTGAACTCCTAAAACGGTTGATCCTTATTCTTAGGGATTGATGGCAAAGTAGTTAGGGCTGAATGAAGTATGATGTCTTTGACAAACTCTCAAATGATCAAGGGGGGAGGTAAATATATAGATACTAGAGCAGTGGTTCTCAACCTTCTGGCCCTTTAAATATAGTTCCTCATGTGGTGACCCAACCATAAAATTATTTTCATTGCTACTTCATAACTGTAATGTTGCTACTGTTATGAATCGTAATGTAAAAATCTGATATGCAGGATGGTCTTAGGCGATCCCTGGGAAAGGGTTGTTTGACCACCAAAGGGGTCACAACCCACAGGCTGAGAACCACTGTATTAGAGGCCTGGTGCACAAATTCATGCATGGGTGGGGACTGGCCAGCCCACCCCTGATGGGGTGGGGGAGGCTGATTGGGGGCGGGGCCGGCTGGGGGCAGGGGCCACCGGCAGT